GAGGGAAACTTCGGAGGGAAACTTTATTACTTCTTTCTTTTCTCTCTCTCTTTCTCACTCTCTCACGCCTCTGCCCTCCTCCATATTTCATGGCATGTATACTGTAGGTTGGAGATTCTAGTGAAATTATTGAAGAACAACCAATCTGTCAACAGCAGAGGCAAAATATTGCCTTAGAGATACCCTCAAGAACAAATGAGGGCTCTACTGAGGATTTTGTCCGAATAAACATACCCCTGACACCAAATCGAACTCCCAAAAGAGTGAATTTTTCGCCAATCCCTAGCCCTAGTTACTACAGATTCAATGATTCCCCAAGTCCCTTGTCAACTAGGGCTAAATCATCCATGAAAAGCCTCTTTCCAAAACTAAGCTTCAAATTCCGTAATACTACTTCAGAGATTGAGAGGGCTGCAATCCTAGCTTTGGGAGATTCACCAGCAGACACATGGGAGAAGCCTTTAATTCGGAGGACATTGTCTCTTTCAAAACTTTTCACGCCCAAAATGAAGAGAACTTCATCTTTACCTGTTACCCCAATTGCACACTCGAATCCGGAGTCTATGCATGGAGGCAACACAATTGATGATTATGTTGTAAGTATTTACCCTGTGTCGCCTCAAATCATATTATTTTCTCTCATCTGTATAGTTTCTCTGTGTATAGCAAAGATGAATCATGATATATACTTTTTGTGTCTGCAAGGTGTTCGACAAAATGTCACAATGGCAACTGAAATTTGCATTTTGTTTAGGTGAGTCTTTTGACTGAAAATGGAAACACCAAGGATGATTTGAGGCTCCCCACTGATGATGCTCTGCTCCCCACTGAAAATTCTAGCCATGACTGGTATATTTCTTTAGCCAGGTGGCTGAAATTTCTATAAATGATTCCAACCATAGAGCCCTTAACACATGTTAAAGGCATTTATCCATGTGTTTAGGTACTCCACAGTAAAAACAAACTTGGGCCGAGCTTAATTTTATGCTAACAGTCCCACCTGTTTGCAGTCACCACTGCAAATAGTACATACTTCATTGACTTTGATCAGTTAGTGTACTTTTTCTGTTGGGTAATTTTCTTGTTTGGGTAAGCTAGCTTCATTTGGTACTGTTAATTCTGTTGAATTGCATGCATTTAAATTCATGAATGTAATGAAACATTAGTGAATTTTTATCAGAAATGTTGGAAAAGGCAATAGCAACTCCTCCAACTGTTTCACCAATATGGTGTTCCCCATTACTTGAGGTATGTGTAGAATTAAAATTATGTCATAAAATTCTCTACTCAACTTTTTGAATGATCCCATTGAATGAAATTTCTAACTACGCTAGTTCTACTATATTTGAAGTCCTGTATAGGAGTAATTTGGGTATGTATAACTGTGTCATATATATGTGTGAAAAAATATATATATATATATATAAAATATAAGAATATAAGAAAATATAAGAATATAAAATTTTAAAATATATTATTATATTTTTCAGTACATAAAATATTAGGACAAATATTTAAGATAATTTAATTTTTGCTTTTTTTTTTAATTTATAATTTTATTACTTATATTTTTATTTAAAAATAATTTTAATATATTTGTTACTTTTATTTTAATTTTTTAGATTGTTGTTATTTTACTTTTACCGACTACATATTAGTCGGCCATTGTAATTACAAAATTTAAAAATTTTGCTTCATATCGGAGGGAACTTTATTACTTCTTTATTTTCGCTCTCTTTCTCACTCTCTCACGCCTCTGCCCTCCTCCAGCTCTCTCTCTCGCCTTTGTCTCCATCGTCGTCGGGTACGGGAGCATCACTGCCATCGCACACGAGCACCACCGTCACTGCGTATGCGATTCCACTTTGATCGACTCAGCCCTTCCTCTTTGATCTCTCTGAAATTATCTCTAGATCGACCAAGGATCTCTGGGCCACCATTATCACAGGTAAGAAAACTTCCATTTCTCTCTCTATTTTTCTGAAATCTGGTTCTTCTCTGATCTGATGAGTGAATTAGTTTTGAATTCAGTTCTGAAATGGTTTGATCTTTATTTGCTGATTTTGGATTGTTTTTTCTCTCATCTGTATAGTTTCTCTGTGTATAGCAAAGATGAATCATGCTATATACTTTTTGTGTCTGCAAGGTGTTCGACAAAATGTCACAATGGCAACTGAAATTTGCATTTTGTTTAGGTGAGTCTTTTGACTGAAAATGGAAACACCAAGGATGATTTGAGGCTCCCCACTGATGATGCTCTGCTCACCCAGGTATATGGTTCAACTTTTTTAGTACCTTGTGTTTTTGATTGTTTGATTCTTTATGTATTCCCTTTTTGATAAGTTTTATGAACAGAACTTGAAAAATAAGAAAAAAGTTTTATCGTTATGTAGAAAAGTTAAAATCACAAGTGGGTGTGGCTTTCAGAACTTGACTAACAAGTTTCTGTATTCAAATTTTAGCTTGACAAGTTTCTGTATTCAAATTTTAGCTTGACAAGTTTCTGTATTCAAATTTTAGCTTGACAAGTTTCTGTATTCAAATTTTAGCTTGACAAGTTTCTGTATTCAAATTTTAGCTTGACAAGTTTCTGTATTCAAATTTTAGCTTGACAAGTTTCTGTATTCAAATTTTAGCTTGACAAGTTTCTGTATTCAAATTTTAGCTTCCATCTTTTTCATTATTTTTGTTTTTTAAGACCCACTTACAGGAATCAAATTTTGTGAAATGGGGTTTTTTTGACCAGCAAATAAGAAATTAGGGTGGTTTTTGTTTTTTTTCCAGGTCTGTTGGCAAGACACAAATGAATGAGCACTCATCCAGAAGTCACTTTGTTTTTACCTTGCGAATATCTGGAGTAAATGTGGTACACTTCTGAATTTTGTTTGTTTCCATAGAAAATCTCATCTCCCTCTAATATGCACATTCCATATGCTGATTTACTTCACTTGTTAGAACACCGAGCAACAAGTACAGGGCGTGTTGAACCTCATTGATCTGGCTGGCAGTGAAAGACTCTCAAGGAGTAACTGGGGACCGACTGAAAGAGACTCAGGTCTCTGTCTCTGCCTCGCTCTTGCTCTCTATAATAACTAAAAAAGAGAGTATTTCTTTACAGATTATTTTTATTCTTTTGATTTGGTTAGATGTGTTTATTGTTTTGTTTTGTGTATTTTATTTATTTATTTATTTATTTAAGGAGCAGCAGGATTGGATAATTATGAAATTTGATTCATCTTTTATTTTTTTTTCTTTTTTTTCAATCACAAAGTTATTGTAATGATAATGATTGATAAATGACAATGATGATTGATAATGATTTACAAAACACTCATAGGTTGTTAGCATTGCCTTGAATCACACCAATCTTTTGTAAAAAAGTGATAGTTTTGAGCTTCTGCTTCCAAGCTAACCACACAATGGATTTAGCTCTAGGAGGGGATACATTATGCCACATCATGTTGGCAATAACTCCAAAATCATTTGGTTGTATATTGTTTTCACACCATCTGTACATTGAGAATACACTGAAGCACCCAGAATTTTCTGCCATCCACCTTAAATCGTCATCCTTATCATCTTTAAGAGCATAGGCATTGGTTATCAGATTAACAAGTCTAGCAACCTCTTCTTTTTCCCAATCTCTCAGCTCTCTTGTAAACCCCCTCATCCCACTCTAACAGACCCTTTTGAGTTCAAGGACTTCCTTAACAGATCTCTACCTATCAAGTCAAATTCTAAAAAGTCTAGGGAACACTTCCTTTAAACAACTAGCCCTAATCCACCTATCCTCCCAGAACAGAGTCCTAGCCCCATTCCCAATCAATATGTGAGTATAGCTAACATAGAAATTATGAAGATCAGGTTTAGAAACTACCACTGCTAGTATATCCTTCTAGATTGTAGATTGAACATAGTATACTATTTATTTATTTATTTATTTTTATTTTTATTTTTTTAAGAAAATTGTTGTCCATTATTTTATTATGATAAGATAAAAGCCATTCCACTCATTTCTTCTAGCATGTCCAAAACTTCTCTACTTTGAAAGGTTCATGAAACACTTGAATGATTTTAATTTGAGAAAAAAAAAATACTTGAATATAGAATGATTAACATGTTCTATTCTGATTATGATATTCATATTTTAACCAATATAGTCCTTGAAGTGAATGAATTGTTGTTGATGCTACACACATTTATGAATAGCAATGAGGAATCATTATATATATTTTTTATTATTATTTTTTGTGAGAAAATTGTTGTCCATTATTTTATTGCTTGTATACTTGTAATGTTTTCTTGGCCTAATAATGTGATTAGAGAAAATACAACATTGAATTTTGTCCCTTTTTTTTTGTTGAATCCAAATACACAACTAAAGAAGAACTTTGAAACATATCCCACCCTTTTTACTAGTTTAGCAACCATCATACAAACCCAAATTCATATCTTCAGAATGTGTTAGGCATATGTAACCCATAGAATCACTGTTGTTTATGGTCTTAGGAGTCTTGACAAGTACCCATGGATATGTTTATAGAAGGCTTCACGTAAATAACCCATAGAATCACTGTTGTTTATGGTCTTAGGAGTCTTGACAAGTACCCATTTTCGCAACATACTTCACAAAACATGTAGAAAAATGAATAGCAAAACATGTAATTTTCGCTTTAAAGTTGTAAAAGAACTTACAGTTTGTCTTAATGTTCTTATCTAGCGAATATTTATTTTCATATTAGTTGTAAAACAAGTTGCTTCCTTTTTTTTTATTTTTTTTTTGTTCTATGTTTTGTGTTTAGTAGGATACGCATCTTATGGATCATCATTGCCTTTTTCTTGCACGAATTTGATTTGAAACTAAATATGGTATAAAATAGCAAGTCTAGAAGTTATCAAAGTAGGTTTAGGTAGTGCCTTTTTATGTTACTATATATAGCTCTATACAAGGGGTTAAAGAATTTTGGAGTTTGCTTCTCACAATGTATCTAATGATGGACAATTTCCATGTCCATGTATGAGATGTGTGAATTCATACATGACCCTAGAAGCTGTATATGATCACATGGTATCCTATGGAATTAGTCCGAGTTATAATTGTTGGTATCATCACGGGGAAACTATCCAAATGATGTATTTATCATATATTATCATTTTCTAAATTTATGCAAACTCATGTGAATTTTATTGTATAAATAAGGCGACAAATGGATCTAGTGGCATTTCGGACCAAGCTTCTCCACAAACACATTAGAGATCCTCTTTTAGGAGTCATGAAATGCAACCTTTTAATCGGGGTAAATATTTCACTTATCAAAATAGTTCATGGGATAGGGAAAGCAATATTTTCCTCTTTTTTAGTGTTATTTTCATGTTTCAAGTAAGTTGTCATTGCCAATTTTAGTATCAATAGCGTATCAAACTCTAATATGCAATCAAAAAATAGACCATTGGATGCTGCTGTTGGTTTCTTGATTAGTGGCTATTGCTGGTTTGCTGCTGTTGATGAGTGTGTGGTATGCTTTTGTTTTGCTGCCTCTCTTTTTTATTTTTTGTTATTTTTTTCTATTGTAGTTGGTTGCTGTTGTCAAGTGATAAGAGATATGGAGTAATGCTCCAATACCACCAAATAATCACTTGTTTATGTTGTAACATGCTCCAATACCACCAAAAAATTTTGATATCACTGTTGTCCTTGATATCACTTGATATAATTACAAATTTTTAAAATTTAAGGATGATTAGTTATTATAAAATTTAATCCACAAATTATATCATCAAAATAAATTATCACTGTATTTTAATCTTAATATTATTTACATTGTGCCTTTGGGCACGGGCATACGCTAGTATATATATTATCATTTTTAACTATACAAAACAAGAGGTGAGGTTGGGTTGGTGTCCATATTGAAAAAAAAAACTGGGCCCTAGAAGATTTGAGTCCTAATATTGTTCCAGACTTAT